CTCCTCCTCCTCCTCCTCCTCCTCCTCCTCCTCCTCCTCCTCCTCCTCCTCCTACTACTCCTACTCCTACTCCTACTCCTACTCCTACTCCTCCTCTTTCTCCTCCTTTTTACTCCTCCACCTACATCTCCTCCTCCAATGGATGGATACCAGCACTTGTGCTACATCTGCTTGCACCTCCACTTGGCCGACCACTCGTGAACCCCCGCACCTCCTTGTTGCCCTCCTCTACTTTGGTGTTTCTCCTCCCCTGCCTCCTGCTCCGCACGCAGCGCCGCTACGATGACAGGGGCTTCGTGGATGGGTCAGCCGCTGTGACACGTGAGGCCACGGCTGCATTGCTAATTGTATGTTTTCCTGGTCCCTTCTCCTTCTCTTTCCTCCTCCTCCTCCTCCAGCGTTGGCCGCCTAGTACAGGGAGCGCTGTAATTACCCAAATTACGGAGCGCGTGGGTAGGGGCTGCCCGCGAATCTTCGGCAGAAGCTGCGATTGGAGACACTTTGGCCTCTCATGGTGTTCGTCGTCGTCGCCCTGCTGATCGCCTGTTTTCTGTTGGTTCCGTTTGTGCGGGGCTAGCTTTGGCGATCCGTCACTAGTAGCTTAAGGCTTCGTTTGCCGTGGTGGAGAAAAGTCCTTCTCCTCCTATTCCTCCTCCGATTTCTCCTGAGGATCGAAGGAGGTTGCGCCTCTGCCTTGGCGGAAGGCGGCGGAACGAGGGCGGCTCCGCCCTGCGGAAGCTGGCGGAAGGCCTGCGGAGGCCTCGCCGGCTCGAGACGCTGCGTCGCAGCAGGCGGTCGCGCCTGGTCGCAAGTCCTGGCCCGTTCACTTCCGCTCGTCGGCCGCGCCACGGCGGCTGCTGGTGCGGCGGGGGGGCAGATCCACTGCGGCGGGGGACCATTTGGGGCGACGAGATCTATGCATATCCACTGCTCCTGGCCAGGCCAATCCTGGGCCCAGGAGCGGTGTATACGCCCTCCTGGCCTGGCCAGGGAGGCATATATACAGCTCCTGGGCCCAGGATTGGCCTGGCCGGGAGCAGTGGATATGTATAGATATCGTCGCCCTACCATTGCGAGGTGTGCGTTCGCGGGGATCCCGGCCCGCGGAGAGGGCAGAGCTGGTGCCATTTGCGCTTGGGGCGCTGGCAATAGGGCGTGGGGGCTACGCGTGGCAAGCGTGAGGCTCGCGTTTGTGGCGGGAGCGGCTTGGCATCATGGACGCAGGTACACATGTGCCAGAGCCGCGCAGATGGCCTCCAACGAGAAGCTGAACTCGATGACCCAACTGCCCCACACACCAGCTAAAGTACCGTGGGCTGCTGATGATGATGACGGAGCCGACAGCAACACGAAGAGCTAGCTGAAGGCTCGTACCTTGAAGATTTGGAGTTTCAACTCGGAGTCGCTGCGGAGGATCGGCAGATTGGACGAACTGTTGGAGATGGCAACAGCGGGGGACGTCGCCATCTTCACTATGCAGGGCACGCACATGGACGTAGGGAAGACGTACAATTCGGGATAGTTCGAGGTGCACTCATTGGCTCGTCCAGGCAAACTCCAGCGCGTCGGTTGCCTCATCGCCCGCAGTTTAAAACATTTCAGGCCGACGGAGGTTCGCTGCGATCATGCATGGCTGGAGGCAAAATGTCAGGGACCAGGTTCAGGAGTGAGTCCAGCAAGCGATACGAGAGGGACCTCTACATTTTGAACGGATACGCTCCCATCAACGACCCTGGGCACCCGCCGCAGGGAGCCGACACGAACTCTTACCGCGAGTTGCAGCTTGAGGCGTGCAAGCGGTCTTGGCAGGTGTCGCAGTGTTGCAGGCCGGGTTCCGGCCCGCTCAGCACCAGTGGTCACAATGGACGCCAATGCACATGTTCCACCACGCCTGTTATGGGTATGACACGCTGGAACACGACGGGCTGGACCAATGAACACCGCGAATGGCTATTCCCTGATGGAGCTGATCGAAGGCTTCGGGATGGCGGCCCTCAACGCGCTCGGCAGGAAAAGGAAGATTCAACGGCACGTGGCACAGCCCGCTGGGCAGGTGGACAACGATTGACTACGCCGTGGTGCGCAGGCAGGAGGGAGACGGACACGTTTCGAAGCCTAGGATGGACTTCCCTGTCAACCTGGGCGGCTGCAGGGATCACAGGCCGCCGGAGACGCGCATCTTCGCGGGCGCCAGGACTGGGCCACCGCGGCAGGCACGTCGACACAGATGGCGCCGGAAGCTCCCGTTGGCGGACCCTGCGAAGGCCCAGATGGCACAGGAGGACGCCGACAACATAGCGTACGGTAGGTTTGCGTCGTGTCGACCAGCGGCGACCCCAGCGCGGGCGTTCAACGTTGAACGCCGGCGGCGGCCCAGAATCGGTCGATGTTGAACGATCGGACGTTGCGGCAGCGGCCGATCGTTCAAGGTTGAACGATCCAGCGCGGTGTCAGAAACCAACGCTGGGGTCGTCACGACACGAACCTGCCGTAGATCCCCAATCGAGTCGTGGAGTTCCGCGACGAGGTGCAAGGAGGCATGGAGGAGAGGAGGCTCCATGAGGGCTACACGGACAGATGCGGCAGAGGGAAGTTCTACGACACACGATCGTCCTACTTCGATGCGTTGGAGGGCGCAGTTGTGGACGCGGCGCTGCAGGACTACATTAAGCCTCCCGTGAAAGGAGGAAGCACGGAGCCAGTATTCGATGAGCCCACGGTAAAGCTGACCGAAACGAAGCAGCACTGGCGGAGGCAACTGGGCGACGTCCAGACGGAGCCCACCGGCTGAGGAACCCCATCCAGGTCAAATTGCATGAGTCAAGGGCAGAAAAAACGCCCCTACCCTGGTTTACGAGGCGCTGTGCTCTGAAACTCCTGTGGGCTGACAGGGTAAACCCTGCGTGATGTGCCGCGTCCTGGCGGCTCTAGGCTTTGGGGGTTCCCAGGAGGTTTACAGACCACGCACTTGTAATCCAGGGTAGGGTCGTTTTTCATCCCTCAAATGAGGTATCGAGGGCAGCGACGACGGCGATCAGGAGCGAGAAGCGGCAGAGGACGGCGGCATTCGCAGGAGTTGCTACACGTGCGGTTGCCCAGAGGAGCTCCAGGCGGCGCCACGCGAGAGTTAGCAGGACGGCTCCGAAGCCGCCGGCCCCCATCAGGATTGTGAAGGACCCAACCACGGGGCCGCCTCCTCCTCCTCGTCCTCCTCCTCCTCCTCCTCCTCCTCCTCCTCCTCCTCCTCCTCCCCCTCCCCCCTCCCCCTCCCCCTCCTCCGCCTCCTCCTCCTCCTCCTCCGCCTCCTCCTCCTCCTCCTCCTCCTCCTCTTCCTCCTCCTCCTCCTCCTCCCCGCCATGCTTCGATGCGGAGCAGAATAAGCTGGCGCGCGTTCCATGTGTATGACCTATGTGATGGGCAGGTGATGCAGCAAGAGGATGCGCCACAGCATGCAGGAGGAGCCAACAGAGATGACGAAAGGCTTGGGCCGTCAGTGACGCGGGGCAGTGCAGCATGGATCTCCCCAACATGAAGGGCGGGCCGACATTGCAGTGGTTTGCAGGTGGGCCCCCAGTGGGCGCGGTGGCGGAGTCGTGGAAGTTTGCGACTGATCTTGTCGCGGCGCCGCTGCACCAGGTTTTCAACGCTTCCCCAATCGATGGGCGCGGCGCCACGGAGGTTCAAGGACGGCGAAGCGATGCAGCTGCACAAGCCGAAGGGCGACGGCAGCTCGGCGGCGAACGACAACAGGACCATCAATTTGATTGCCACCTGAAGGCCTACGCGAGGGTGACTACGCTCGGTGCGCTGTGCGAGGCGGCCCACAAAGTGTCGCCGACGCAGTTCGGGGTCATGCCAGGGACGGGTGCCCGTGACGCCGTGGCGGTGGCGTTGGAAATTCTTGTTCGGCATCAGAGGGCCCATAGGGCCAACTTGAGAGGCACGTCCACGCTCATGGTTTGACTGCGAGAAACCCCAGGCAAGAGCGGGATTCTTGAGTAAATTGTGAGGAAGTGTGGAGCGCGAGAGAGAGAGAGAGGGAGAGAGAGACCTTGATATAAGTTGTGAGAAAGTAGCAGGCAGGAGCGGGCGGGCTCTGGGGCAGGCGACCTGGCGGACCCCGACGGGCGGGTTGGGGGGGCGGGCCCCAGCGGGCGGGGCAGGCGGGCAGACCCCAACGGGCGACTCGGGCGGACGGGCCGTATCGGGCGGCGGGCAGGGCATCACAGTGCGGCTCCTTGTTATACATTTGGGGTTGGTATGGGGCGAGGACCAGATTCCTATGTAATCTTTACGGAAGTATCGGGCGAGGGTGCAATTGTTAAGTGGCAGGGTCGCGATTCCTCCGCAACGCGCCAGAAACGTTGAAGCGACAGCACAGTTCCTAATCGGCGACAGGATTTCTTTTTTGTAAATAATGAGCAAGGGGAGCGCGACTATTGTGCTAAGTCTCAAGCGGGAGCCGGCGATATTCCACGCAAGCGGTCGGGCGGACCTTGACGGACGGGGCGGCCGGGCGGACCCCCAACGGGCGCGTCGGGCGTGCAGACCTTGAAGGGCGTGACGGGCGGGCGGGACATTAAAGCGCGATTCGTGAATAAAGCTTGGGCGATGATCGGCATCGGGCGTGAGCGCGTCTCTTACGTTATGTATAGGAAATCTCGGGCGAGACTCTCGCCGCGAGAGTGCAAGTCCTGAGTGCCGAGGGCGCGATTCCGAATCAAGTCGCCAGGATGTCCAAAGCGAGAGCACGATTCCTGAGCAGCGAGAGCGCGATGTTTGGCTATACCTCGAAGAAGCCCCAGGAGGGAGCGATGCAGAAGTAAACTGCCAGGAGGTCTCAAGCGATTGCGTGCATCCTCCAGAAGTGCTGAGGACATGTACTGCGGAAACATATGTTGTTATTGTAGCCAGGGGCCCGACAGCACAGCTTGAGGCCCAACAGATCCCATGCAAAAATTGGGTGCGCGCGCCGGGGGCGGGGCGCAATTCAGTTAAGAAGCACCATGGGTACCGGTGGGAAACGTCAGCAACAAGAGGAGCCAAGAACAACAGCTAGTATTCATCAGAAGTGGAGTTCAACAGCAACAACAACAACAGCAACAACAGCAACAACAACACCTAAGGAGAAAGCAGCAAACTCTGTTTGAGCACAGAGGGGTCAACGAAAACCGAGGGTTCGCTTGCTTTTATATCAGACACCTGCTTTGTCGTTGCTGTTTCCTCGTGTGTTGATTTGCTTGGTTTCGTTGGTTTTCCCAGCCTTCCGCCTCCGCCCCTCGAAGAGGCGCAGGCGCACTTCACGCCTGAAAAGATGTGCTGTGTCGTCCATTCGCTCGGGAGGGCCACGCGCTTCACGCCGCTGCTCTTCTGGCTGCGCGCGTTGAATTCCGCATCCTTGCGATCCGCCGTGGCATTCCTCGTCGCTCGTGGCCGCGCGGAGCCCGCGGCGGCGGCGGCTGTTGCCCGCTCCCGCTCCGACGCCCTGGCCGACCCCCTCGCGTTGCCTGCGGGGGTGGGCGGGCGGCCGGTCGAATCCGCGGGTTCGGGGCTGCGGTCCTTCGGCGCGCCCTCCCCTCCTCCTCCTCCTCCTCCTCCTCCTCCTCCTCGTCCTCCTCCTCCTCCTCCACCTCCTCCTCCTCCTCCCCCTCCCCCTCCTCCGCCTCCTCCTCGCCCTCCTCCTCCGCCTCCTCCCCCTCCGCCTCCTCCTCCTCCTCATCCTTCTCCTGGCACGGCGGATCATCATCGCCACCGCCGTCGTCACCACAGCTACCACCAGCGTCACCACCATGATCGTCATCGTCACGACCCTCATCGTTCGTCTCCTCGTCGGGCGGGGGGGGGGCTGCGGAAGGGGTCTTGAGGCTGTTGGGTGCGGGACAGGCGCTGGGCTCGCGGATGGGCCAGCCGCTGCAGCAGGCGCAGGGCGCCCCGCAGACGCAGATGTTGTCGCAGACGCCGCAGACGCAGATGTTGTCGCAGACGCCGCAGACCCAGATGATGTCCCAGGCGCTGCCCTGTCCCTTGCTGGTCTTGCAAAAACTGTTTCCGATGGGGACGAGAAAGAGGGGTACGGTGGGGGCGTTCGTTGAGGAATATGCCCAGAAGGCTTCAGACCCTGGGGGGCTCTTTCTCTGATTAGGGCGGCCGCGATATCCATGGCCAAGCCTCACTCGGTGTTCTGTCTATGGCTTCTAGACCTTGGAGTCCTTCTCCGAGGGTTCCTTATGCAATGCCATCACCGTATGAGATTGAGACGAGGAGGCTCAGACAAAGAAGGCAAGAAGGGCATGGGGGAGGAGTCAGGGAGGAGGGAAGGAATTGCGCGAGGAGGGATACGAGGACGATGACGGGAACGAAGGCTGGTGGGGCAGGCGATTGTCTCCCGCCACTTGCCGTTTCAACATTGAGCTCGATTGGTTCTGCGCACAGAGACCACTCCGATCACTGCCTGAGGACATGAAATGAAACTATGTGCTGCCATATCTGGCTTCATGCATGCTGTCGTACGTGTTCACCTGTATGCCTTCGTATGCGGGTCTACTCCTACTAGAGCACGCATCCATGGATGTGCCACGTGCGTCCCACATGTGTTATCATATGCTTACTGGAATGAGGCTTGGCATATGGTCCATATGTTCTAACGCATGTGCGCACATATGGCGTGCATGGTCGATTTCGTGGCTGGGCTCATACGTGCTTACCAGCTATACCTGGATATGTTCGCATGCATGTTTGTTTTTTTCAAATCCGATCGCACAAGAAGAGTTCATGCATTGCGTAGCACATGTTGTTGTATCTGGCTATGGTACTATTCATGCAGTCCTGGTGCACGACTGCCTCGCACAGCGTCACCATATTGTTCCATGGTGCGCCATTGGTTGATTTCACGCGTGTCGTGGTAGTGCATGACACGCGCGTGATACAATCCAGATGTATACGTGTGCTGCGATGTGTGCTACACCGAGGGGTGTCACGCGCAACCCCATAGTTGGTTCCACAAATGGTGTCAGTATGATGCGCGCTTCGGCATTAGCGGCATGCAGCCATACGCATGGGTACACATTTGGGGTGGGGGGGGCGGAGTTGCCTGCACAAGCGTCACATGTGGTGTCGTGCGCATTGCGCTTCGGAAATCAGAGAAGTCTGTACGCATGTATGTGTGTACATATATGTAGAGAAAAGGACATGGCATAGATAGATATATATATAATATATATATATATGTATGGATGTATGTATGTATGTATGTATGTATGTATGTATGTGTATACATAGCGAAGAAGAAAAGAAGATATGAAAAAAAGAAAAGGAAGAAAGAAAAAAAAAACGCACACACACACACACACACACACACACACACACACACACACACACTCACACACACACACACGCACGCGTGGACGCAGGATATACACTCGTCAATCAAGTTGGCTGGTGTCGCACACAAGTGTATATAGTGCGACATGCACGCGTGCAGTAAGTAAGTACGAAGTGCTCCCACCGATGCTTTCAGGCATATTCATACGACTTGCCCGAGCCAATACTTCAGAAAGGAGCTCAGAAACATTCCCATAGGGGCATTCTCCACAGGAGCCCCATGAGTCCTCTCGCAGATGCTCGAAGGCGTCTCCGAAAGGCCGTGCGGCTTCTCCCGGCACGTCTGAGGTCTCCCTCAGATGCTCAGGGGCGTCTCCGAGTGGCTTCTGAGGCCTCCCCCAGAGTCTCTGAAGTCTCTCCCAGAGTATCCGAGGCCTCTCCCAGAAGCTCCGAGGCCTATCTCGGAAACGTTGAGGCCACCCAGAAGCTCTGAGGCCTCCCCCAGAAGCTCTGAGCACAGCTCTGAAGTCTCTCTCCCAGAGCTCACCCCAGCCCCGCCCCCTGCTGCCAGCCTCCCAACCCAGTCCTACAACGACCCCCCCACCCCCCCGCACCCCACCTGGGCATCAGGCCACGCGTTGCACATCTGATGCTACTACGGTGGGAGCGTTCGTGAAGGAACGTGCCCACGAGGCTTCAGGCCCTGGAGGGTTCCTTATCTGATGAGGGCGGCGGTGATATACATGGCCGATCCACGATTGGCTTTCCATTGGCTTCCAGACCTTGGATTCCTGATCGAAGGTTTCCTTATCCAATGCGCCCACCGAAATCTTTTCCACTGCTTCTCCTGCTCCTCGTCCTCGGCACCATCCTGACCCTCATCCTCATTATCCGGTACGTCGTTCTCTTCCCCCCCCCCTCCCCGTGCCTGCCTCCTCCTCCTGCCCAGCCTCCTCCTGACCGCCGCCACCATCATCATCATCATCATCATCAGCAGCAGCAGCAGCATCATCATCATCAGCAGCAGCATCATCGATCGCTGCGTTTTCACATCGGTCGGGCGCCTTTCGTTATATAGGCCTCATGTAGACTTCGGAGGCGAAATATCTAGACTCCCCAGGCGCATCGGGGTATCGCAGCCAAAAGTGACGTCCTCATTATCCACATTCCTCGTCGCCATTCTCACCATCATCGTCCTCTTCGTCACCATCGTCCATGCCATCCCCATCCTCCCCCCTCCTCTGTCTCCTGCCCCTCTCCTCTCCCTCCCTCCGCTGAAGTTCCAACCAGATCCAGCGCGCCAGGACCTGGACTTGGTCACGGTGACGCCGCAGGGGCTGGCCGTGACGCCTCTGAATGGGCGCCGCCCCCCGGGGGGAGGGGCGCCCAGACCTTGTCCCCGAGGGAGGCGGAGGAGCAAGCCGACTTGAGGCATGGTGCGGGTGGATGATAGCCATGGCTCGGGGCGCCGCTCGGCACCCCCCTGTGGGTGGAGAAGAGGAGGAGGAGGAGGAGGAGGAGGAGGAGGAGGAGGAGAAGGAGGAGTTGAAGGGGAAGGGGGGGAGGGAGGAAGGGGGAGAGGGGGGAGAGGGGGGGGGAGGGAGGAGCGGGAGGCGGGCAGGAGGGAGGAGGGGGAAGGGGCGAGGGAGGAGGGCGGCGACGGGGGGCCGCCAGGAACCCGCCGCCGCCCGGCGTCCCCATGCTGCAGGACCCGGCGCGCGCGCGCGGGCGACCGAGGCCGAGCCTCGCAGCGGTCGGCGCCCAGCTTCCGGGGGGGGGGAGGCGGTGCGTTGCTGCTGCAGGTGAGGTGGCCCGTGTCGGCGTTGGATCTGTCAGGGCGTCTCCTCACACGTCGTACTGTAGCACGGAGGGGGGAGGAAGAGGAGGGGGGAGAAAGGGGAGGGAGGAGAAAGGGGAGGGAGGATGGAGCCGGAGGGGGAGGAGGAGAAAGAGGAGTGGCGGAAGAGGAGGAGGGAGGAAGGAGGAGGGGGAGGAGAAGAGGGGAAGGAGAAGGGGCAGTAGGAGAACGCGGGAAGGGAAGGAGGGAGGGAGGCCTTCCAAGCTGCAGGCGCTGTGAGCTTCTGGGCCGGTGCTGATCCTGGGAGGCTGGCGCACACTGGCATGAGGCGATCAGCACCGCGGGAGATCGTGTGGAAAGGCACCTTGTCTGCCGGCGGGGGGCACGCGGTCGGCCGCCGCCGCCGCCGTCGCCGTCGGCGCCGTCGCGGAGGCGGGTGCACCCCCCGCCCCCCCGCTACCTCCTCCCTCCTGCCCTCGCTCCCTCCTCCCCCTCCCTCTCCTCTTCGCTCCTCCTCCCTCCTCCCCTCGCTCCCCTCCCCCCCCTCCCTCCTCCGCCCCCTCCCTCCACTCGTTCCTCCTCCCCCCCTCCTCCCCCCCTCTTTTTTTATCCCCCCCTCACTCCCTCCCCCCCTCGCTCCCTCCTCCCCCCTCCCCTCTCCTCGTTCCTCCTCCTCCTCCTCCTCCGCCGCCGCCGCCGCCGTCGTCGCCGTCGCCTCCCCCCCCCCGCCTCCCGCGAGGAGAGGCCACAGCTCCAGGGCCCGGCCCCCGCCGGGGCGCCGCACACGTTCGGCACGTCGCAGGCGACCCGCGGGGACCGCGCGACCAGCCCGCGCTCCGGCGCACGGGTGCGTGCAGGAGGTCAGGAGCCAAGGGGTGGGCAGAAAAGAGAGGCGAGGGGAGGCGAGGGGAGGGGAGGGAAGGGGGGGAAGGGGGGAGGAGGAGAGGAGAGGAGGAGGAGTTGGAGGGAGGAGGATGAAGGAGGAGGAGAAGGAGGAGAGGAGGAGGAGGAAGGAGAGGAAGGAGTGGAGAGGCGAGGAGATTAGAGGAGAAGGAAGGTGAGGAGAGGAGGAGAGAGAGTAGAGGAGAGGAGAGGAAGGGAGAGGAGAGGAGAGATAGTAGAGGAGAGGAGAGAGAGGTGGAGAGGCGAGGGAAGAGGAGAGGAGAAAGGAAGGAGAGGGAGAGAGAGGAGAGGAGAGGAGAGGAGAGGAGAGGAGAGATAGGAGTAGGAAAAAAGGAGAGGAGAGAAGAGAAGAGAAGAGAAGAGAAGAGAAGAGAAGAGAAGAGAGGAGAGTGGCTGGTGTGCGGGAGGTTCTGTGGCATCTTTGCAGTTGTGCGCACGCACTTGTTGCACAAGGTCAAGGTTGATCGAGTGCCGTGTTCCGACGGTTGTTTCTCGGTTCGTTGCCATCAAGACACGACGGCTCACGCAGCCAACTGTTGTCCAGCGAAGGAGGAGCAGGAGAAGAAAGGTTCACCAGGAGGAATTGATGTTGCTCCTTGAGTTGCGTTGCGTGCTGAAGCTCTAGAACCCGATGCATTATGTGAACGAATGAGTGCGTAATCAACTGAGCGGGGAAGAGAAAGGGAGGAGGCAGAGATGGAGGGCGGGAGGAGATGGGGGGAGGCTGCTGCTGCTGCTGCTGCTGGTCTTCCTCCTCCTCCTCCTCCTCCTCCTCCTCCTCCTCCTCCTCCTCCTCCTCCTCCCCCTCCTCCTCCTCCTCCTCCTCCTCCTCCTCCTCCTCCTCCTCCCCCTCCTCCTCCTCCTCCTCCTCCTCCTCTTGTCCTGCTCCTCCTCCCTCTGCTCGTCCTCCTCCTGCTCATCCTCATTAGCCTTGCTGGCTCAAGTCTGGAGGCATTGCTCAGGACCGGAGAGTTTCGGCGTGGGGAACAAGCGACCCCCATCACGAGCGCTGTCAGGTGCGCACTCCTCTTCTGACAAAGTACTGGGGGTCGTTCCCACCTCTTCGTGAACCAGTACAGGTCCTCCATGGCGCCTCTTCGTGCTGATTGTTCTCGGGGTTAGGCCCCGTGGCGGCGTGTCGCGCACGGAGAATGGAGTGGCATGGACGTGCGGGGTGGGTCTGGCTGATAATTGGCTATCAACGGCAAATCGGGTCACATGTTTGCTCAAGGCGAGCGCAAGCGGAAAGGAAGGGCAGCTTGTTTTGTAAGGCGTGTGGAAACAAGGTTTCGGATGTTTTTCCTGGTCACGCTCAGCTGGCAGGTGGAATCTGGGCCGACGAGAACGCGAGCACCACGAATGTTGCAGGAGGCAAGCACGGCGTATGGGTGTCCCAATGTATTCCTAAAGGAAAAGGCACGAGAGGCGCTGGGAAAGGCGAGAGGCCAGATGACGGCATGCTCCCCCCCCCCCCACGCCTGGACCTCGGCATCTTGGTTATGGATCAGGGGCTCATGCGCCAGGGGCTTCGCTTCCAAAGAATTGAAGCAGATGGTTTCTATGTTCGACGAGGCTGGGAAAGTATAGTCGGTGTCCAAGTACAAGCGCATCCTGTACGATCTGGAGCGGAGAAAGGCCCAAATGTCTCTTGTGTTCCCCCCTTGAGACAACAAGTCGCGGACGCCCGCAAGCGGGTACACGAGATGCATGAGCAGCGTCAGAAGGCAGTCAGGCATTATGAACAGAGCAGCAGTTGGAAACACAGAGAATTTGGGTGCCAGGGTCACCCGAGACATGGGAGAATCGGAAGAATAACACCGAGAATTGGTTCGCAAGCTCAATGCCTCGGTGGCCGTTGGTTTGGATGAGGAGGACGCTAAGGCTGAGGCTGCAAGCATCCGTGTGGCGTCGACCTTGGGTGGTTCATGCAAAGCTATCCCAATTTCCCTGGATGGTCCGGGATTCGACGATGGCGAGCGCATGTTGGACGGGTCTGACAGGAAGGATATTGACGAGCTCAAGACCCTTATCCAGTTTCAGTCTGCCAAAGCCATCACAGTCTCAGTCTCAGTCTTCGCCGAGGCGGCTGCCAAGGCCAAGACATTAAACGAGAAGTCTGAGAAGACAGCGAGGTGGCCAGTGGCAAAGCGTGGCAAAGCCGAGATCGGCTCTTGCACGGAAGTCATGGACTGAGCCGACGGCGGCGTTCCAGTTTCAGGCGCGGCAAATCTGGCAGGAGACGGCAAGCAAAGTCAGGCTCAGTCAGAGAAGTCCAGTAGTGATTCGGAGGCAGCGGCGCTAGCGGGGCTTCGGGAAAAAGGCTGCATTCATTTCTCGAGTCCGCCCCCCCATGCCAGCGCAGCGGCGGCAAAACCGACGGCGCGAGGAGGCTCAGCGCAGTCCCAATGGTGCGCCAGGCGATCTCGAAGGGACGATTGGCGACGAAAGGCCTGGTCGGGGGCCAGGCAGTGTATTGCCAGCAATGGGGCCCGCCAGTGTCGGCACTAGCGAAGAAACAGCCAGGCGGCGCGCGTGGCCCGGTGGGTCTGGCAGCGCCCTGGAGCCTTCTGAGGCCCAGGGCCACGGGGAGACAGCCGGGCGGCACACATGGACTGGCGGGTCTGGCGCAGGTGTCGGCACGGTGGCTTCAGATGCACGTCCGCACCGGTGGCCCAGTCTGAGAGTTCGTAGAGAGCTTGAATCTGGGACGTCTGAGTGAACGAGCCCAGGCTCGGGGCCCGCCGCGGGGACCCCCGCCCGGCCCCGCCCTCGCGCCGGCCGCGCGCGGCGGGCCCCCAGACCCCCAGCCCAGAGCACCTGCGCCCAGAGGCCCCAGCAGCCCGGGACGCCCTCGCAGCGAGCTGGGCGCAACGACGGGCGGGTGTCAGCTGGCAACGTAGACGGCAAAGTCAGGTATGCAGTCTATTCTTGCGGTGTCCTACAAGCGCAATGTGCGGCAGTCTGGGCTCGAGACTTGTAGAGTGGCGCAAGGACGAGCGCAGCGAGGTGTCAGGCACGATTGACTTGCAGGATACGAGGCGGGCATCGATGGCAAGGCTTGGAGCGGCTCAGTCATGGGCCAGGCAGGCCAGCTCTCGCACGCCGGCTACCAGAGCGAGGCCCACGAGCCGAGGAGTTCTGGAGCACGCAGGCGGGGCCGCGGCAATGGTGGGCTCCGGCACAGGACCGGCGCTGTCAAGTTGAACGTCGCCCCCTGTGCCTGTCAATTTCGCGTCGGTATACTCGGTGACCAGCGAGGAGCTCGGTGGCCAGAACGCCGCCATACTCGGCGAACTAGCGGAGCTGGTTTCGAAGCTGGGCGGGCCCGTGATCTCGGCAGGGGAGTGGGCCATCAGTCTGGACGCGCTCCAGCTGGCAGGTTGGGCTGACCCTCTCCGACTGCAGTTGGTTGGCCCTGCGGGGGCTACATGCACCGGGAGGGCGCTTGAATTATCCGCGAGGGCTTCGCCCCCTGCCGCCGGCCCCCTCTCTCGGAGAATGGGCAACGCAAGAGCAAAATCATGAGGCCTTGGCGCCGCCGTGAAGCAGCGTTGGATTTTGTCCACATAAACTACCAGGGCTGATGGTTTCGGAGGCGCGACTACAGCGTAATTCACGAGGGCCTTTGGCTTCGGATACGCAGCCTGCGCGCAATTTTCCCAGCACCTCCTCCTTCGTCTGCCGCCCCCCTTCGCCAGGAAGGAGAAGGGCGGTCGTAGGGGGATCGTGGGCCCTTGATCTCAGAGCGTGAATTACCGACCCCGCTTTCGCTTCCAGGCCAAACCAAGTCATACCGCGCGCCTCCTCGTCAAGCGGCCTTGCCAGCACAGGCCGTAGTTTGGCATCGTTCGGTATCTCTTGGAAGCGAGGGTGGTCAAAAGCGAGGTAGGTTTGGTTGCCCCCTATGATGCGCCGCGCCCGAAGGCGCCTCGCTTGTCCCCTCGGCCCCCTGGGAGGCGCTGGTGAGCCTCCTGCCGCCAGCCGTGCCGGCGGGCCTCCGCCCGCCACGCGTTTCGTCGGGCCTCGGGGGGCCCCGCCCCACCGCGGGACGTCCTGGGTCGCTCGGGACGGCCCCCCTCTCATGACCATCCCCCCCCTCCTCCTCCTCCTCCTCCTCCTCCTCCTCCTCCTCCTCCTCCTCCTCCTCCTCCTCCTCCTCCTCCTCCTCCTCCCCCTCCTCCTCCATTCGAGGTCCTGTAGGAACCAACAGTGCTCGAGGGCACTGTCTTGTCCTCGTGGGGCCCTCCCTTGTCTTCTGCCGCCGCTGCGGCGCGCGGGCCCGGCCGTCGGCCACGCGCTCGCGGCTGCGGGGGCCCTGTGATGGATCAGCATCCAGCGAGGACTCCACTTAAAGGCCCTCGAGCAGAGCAAAGACCGTATTTCGGGGGAGTGGAAGGGCCACCCCCGTCCACTCCATGCTTCCGACGATGCCACCTTATGGCTTCGTCTTCGACAATTCGCTCTGCGTTTTACCCCTCTTCTCTCGTCGAGCCACGCTCGCTCTTCTTCTCCACTGGCCTTCGTGTTTCCTCGGTCCTGTCTCGGCACGCTCGGATTCATCGAGTTGACGTGCCCTCCTCCTCGTCCTCCTCCTCCTTTTCCTCCTCCTCCTCCTCCTCCTCCTCCTCCTCCTCCTCCTCCTCCTCCTCCTCCTCCTCCTCCTCTTCCTCCCCCTCCTCCTCCTCCTCTTCCTCCTCCTCCTCCTGCCCACCCTTCTCCAAAGCTCGACATGCCACCGCCAAGGCGTCATCTTTCGCCGCTCTGCAGCAGGCGGGGGCGAGACAGGATCGCCTGCCAGCAGGGCACATGCTCAGCGGGGCGGGGGGGACGAGAAAGGAGGAGGAGCGAAAGTGGGAGTCCGGAGGAAGCAGAGAGAAGAAGAGGAGGGAGAGGATGGAGTAGGAGGAGGGGAGGAGGAAGGAGGAAGAGGAGGAGGGGGAGGAGGAGGAGGAGGAGGAGGAGGAGGAGGAGAAGGAGGACGAGGGCGAGGAAAAGGAGGAGAAAAAGAGGGGAGAGACAGACGGAGAGAGAGAGAGAGAGACACACACAGACAAGAGGTGAAAGGAGGGAGGGAAAGAGAGAGAGAGAGAGTATGTGAGTCTACATATCTATAGTTGTGAAAATACCTATACCTATTTTTTAGACAAGTACCCATGCTCGTGCTCAGACACATAAGCGGTACATGCAGAGAGCTTGAGACATTCATATCATGAAGGGCGTACGCCTACTAAAGCTGCAAACGCATATCCGAATACATATATATATGTATGTATATACATATACATATACATATACATATATGTGTGTATGCGCGTAGGTATGTATGTATGCATGTATGTGTGTACATATGTATATGTGCGTGTGCATGTGTGCACGTATGTGTAAATGTATGTGTGCATGTATGCATGTATGTGTGGATGGATGGATGAATGTGCGTTTGTATGTATGTGTGGATGGATGGAAGCATGTATGTTTGGATGCATGACTGTGTGTATGTGTGTATGTAAGTATGTATGTGTATACGTATGTGTGTATGGATGTTTGTATGTATGTATGTGCGTATGGGTTGTCATGTATGTATATGCGTATAGTTGTATACATGTGTATACACATAGGTGTATATGTATGTGTATATATAAATTTATGTTCATATGTGTATATATATAAACATATGTGTGTATATATATACAACATACATGTACGCATGCGTAGATTATCCAGGCAGTGCTTGCACTTAGGGGTTCTTACTTGCGTTTCCAAGAAATTCGATGGGAGTTTCGAGGGTTCGCCACGTTCGGGCTTGTTGCCGCCCAGTTGCCGCCTGTTGCGGCCAGCGGGGGTGTCCCGAGGATTCGCCATATTCTGGCCTGTTACCGCCCGTTGTTGGCCGTTGCCGCTTGGGGGTGTCCCGAGGATTCGCCATGTTCCGGCCAGCTGCCGCCCGTTGCCAGCCGTTGCCGCTTGCGGTGAAGAGGTTGGGCGTCGTTGGATCGTTGGTGCAGCGCGCTGATGCTAGCGATGAGGCCCGATTCACGGTCGCCGTCAGGCTACTGTGTAGCCGCGAGAGGAGTTGCGTGAAGGAGTGCCTGCAGTCGGACCGTTGGATACCAGAAGTGCCGTGCCCTGTGTCGGTTGCAGTGCTTAATATTTCGCCGTTCCCCGCAAACTGGTGGGAGGATGAGCTAGCCTCGTGGCGGTGGGGCTGGTGACGGTGGTCTGGACGTGGGGATCGCGAGCTGTCTGGTCCTGCCCGATGGGGGGACAATATTGACGCCCGTCGCGCGGGTCAGCGCGGTCGCTGCCTTCGTCGTCGCCGTCGCCGTCGTCCATGGAGGTGCCGAGCCCGAGCGGGTCGAGTTCGTCTCCGTCTATGTAATCGACTTGGCCCAGCCACGGGTCGTCGAGGTGGTCGAAAAGTCAGGTACTGGCGGACCGTCGGGGTGGTCGGGGCCGCCTGGAGAGCACGGTGGCTCGGGCCCGCCTTGGCATGTGGCGAGAGGGTTCGGTTTCATCTTGCTGAGTTCTGCCCAAGAGCATCCCGCTCATCTGTCAGGCAAAATGAGCGTCTGGTGACGTCGGCCATTCATGGAGACTGCCGCGCAGTGACGGACTGCAGCGAAAGCGCGTCGCAACATGGCGGCGTCCACGAGGCCTGGTGGAAGGAGGGCGCGCAGGCGCGCGGCGGCAGCGGCGAGTTTGTCGACGCAGTGGTTGAAGGGCTTTGGACTTGGCGCGATACGCCCCACGTCGATGACAACCTCGCCAAGGTGGCTTTCGACCTACTGAACTTTGGACATGTCCTGCTTGGCCTGTAGGACACGGTGGATAATAGGCCAAAGGTCGGCCTGAGCACCCACTCGCGACGGTGGTCTGCCACGGGAAGATCTTCGAATCCATCGGCCACGTCTTAGCTGTCCACGAAAACGTGGGCAGGCCGAACAGCCGCGGCGACGAGATGAAGCGCGGCCAGCGTCTCGGTTCCATGCGCGGACTGGGCCAGCCCGCGCACCAGCGCGGGGCGGTTGAGCTGGCGGTCAGCCGCAGTTCATTCCGAAGCCAGCCCTGGCGAGAAGCGGGCGCAGCTGGTGGGAGCAGGCTCCATCGGCGGCAGCATAGGCCCATCGGGCTCCGTGCTCGTCGGCCCATTCTCCGCAGGGTCCACCGTCGGGGCCCTCTGGCGTCGGCCGCGGAACGGGCCGAAGGAGCTCGTCCTCGGCGAGGGCGCCCAGGAGATCTAGGAGCTGGGGATATTCCTCCAAAAGGCCGCAGTACCTAGCATGCGGCGGCAGGTAGCACCACCATTGCTCGGCGACCGTGGTTTCCAGAGCAGTCCTTTCGGACTCCCAGTGCAGGGATTTCCAAGGGCGCGCTCTTGGTTTTCTTCTACTCGGTTGAACCGTCTGCACAGCGGGGATGGATCGGCCGAGATGCCAGCCTTGACTTTTCTGCGCTGCGCGCGGCCACCCCCCGCAGAGGTCGTTGACGAGGATACCGACTCACCAAGCCGCTGGGCGCTCGACCGTCGGCGCCAGCGGTGCATGTGATGGCCACGGGGTACCTAACAAATCGCGCTCTCACTTGGGTGTTTTCGGGGCACCGTCCGACGCGTGGCAGTCTGGCGACAGCCCGCTGCATTTTGGCGTCAGCGGTGGCCTCGAGGTTCAGTCGGGTGGCGCCATCAACAGGTCAACGTCGATGTAGCTTGTCACCAGCTTCACGTGGCGGCGAGCTTGCAGCGGCTGCCCATTGAGCTGAAGGGAGGTCAAAAGGCGGCGGGGCTCTTCGCCCAAGGCCCAGCCGACCACTTTGCCAGGGTGGATTACGTAGCCAGACAGCCCGTCAAACAGGACGGCCTCGTCGAGCGACGTCTGGAGCCCCCTGGCAGCGGGGGGCGCGGAGCTGCTGTCGTCGGCGAATACCGATATCGGCGAGCAAGGCACGCGCCCGCGCTGTCGCTTGGCCCACACGCACACAGGGGGGGGGTCAATATTTTCAAAGGAGAAAGAGCTGCCCTGGAGGCGGCCGTCGGCGCGGCCCAGAGATCTGGAGCAGGCTTCGCCCATGCGGGTGCATGTCCAGTGGTCGTCGTAGAAATACCGCTCGACCTGGACGACGTCGGGCGGGCACCCAGCACGCGGCGCTGGGGCGAGGCAGATGTCCGCGACGAGGCAGTCGAAAAATTTGCGCCGGTCTCGTGCTGCGCTTGCCAGGGGAACTTGGAGATGGCGCGCGCGCTCGACCCGGAGGGCCAGGGTCGCGCCAGCGCCGCCTGCAGCGGCGCGCGGGGCCGCCCCGAAGCTGGCAGTTAAGCGGGCCCAGCGAGGCTCTCCAGGCAGCCATGCTGCGGTAGGCTGGCGCTCAGGCACGCATCCAGATGGACATGACGACAAGGAGCCGTTGGTCCGCGGGGAGTTCGCCTTTCCCTTTCCGCCCGCATGGGTTTGGGATGTGCAGGAGAGCTTCGGGAATTCGACGCGCGCTCTGCACGGCCTTCGGCGATTTGGCGAAAAGGCGGAGAAACCGGTCAGGAAGCGGCTCGGCCCCTCCAGCGGTCCACCCGCCCATCCCCCCGGCCTTGGCGACGGGGCGGGCTCGCGTGAGGTGGGCGAGAGCTTCGTCGGTCAGGACGAACGGTTGGGCCGGCACAGGCTCTGAGAGTTCCCGGCGGCACTCGTCGGAGCGGGGCCCCGCGCGTCGGTGTCTACCCGGGATAGGCCCCCACGTGTCCGTCATGAGTTTGAGCATGGCCTTGGCGTCGGCCATGATAGTGTCTTGGTTTGGCCCCAGCGGGGCATGCCCGTCGGAGTCACTTTCGCTGTCCGATACGCAGCCACTCGGGACGATGGTGAACAGGTCCTCCAGTGCTGGCATGGCAGCGATAGCGTCTGCCTCGCAGATGGCGCCTCGAATCCACGTAATATTTTCGGCTGGGGCGAGGGTAATCTGAACCACGTGTTCGAGGCAGCTGACCTCGATGCGGCACAGTTGGTAGATGGTCTCGTTGATGTGTCATGGCGTGGGTGTGGTAGCCTTAGCCGTTTTTTCGAAGGACAGATATGAGGGTTCCTTTCCTTGGGTAATCGTTGTTGATCGGCCCCAGGACTGGCAATGTCAGGGGCGTGTCCTACCTGCGGGTCTGTTGCAGGAATCGGATGAGATGCTGCTGGTGTGTGTGTGGCGTCCCGTCATCCGCCCTGTTCGGCGCGAGTGCGACGGAGACATCCCGGTTTAGCGCATCGAGGTTGTGGAGTGGGGCAGTGCCGTTGCCTTGGTGGGCGTCGGCGGAAGCCGTGGACCTTGGTGGGTCGCGGCTGGAACCCTTCTTGTGCGCAAGGACGCAGCGCAAATTGTGTAGCTGATTTTGTTCCCCCCGCACAATTTCATCAGGTCGCCCCTTAGCTTATGCTGGTTGGAGCGGTGTTGTTGGTAAACGTTGTCAAGGTCGCAATGATATGTCTGAGCGCTGACGCTGTAGGCAGCGACTGCTCGGTCAGCGCCACGATGGTTTTGGAGCGCGGCGACGCAGGCTTCCCTGCGACTGAGGTTGGTGTCCTGTCGATCCTTCAAACTAGCCTTTGGGCGGCCTTTGCCTGGTGGTTGGTTTGGGTTGCGGTGGTGCCGAGGGCACACGGCGAGGACCTTCCGAAGCCATGGCACGCGCACGGAACGACGGGCATATGACACATACCAGTCCCGTGTGATTGATACAGTTACAGTCTCACTGGGTTGGGGGGCGCGGAAGGTTACGTGTCGCGATTTCGCCTTGAGCAGGAGAGAGAGAGAGAGAGAGAAAGAGAGAGAAAGAGAGATAACAAAAAAAACACCTATATACATCTATATATATATATATGTACATACATATATATATATATATATATACATACATATATATACACATCTGTGTATACATGTGTAAATGTTTGGGAGAGAACGAGAGAGAGGGGAACGGGAGAAGGAGGCGGAGGGCGAGCGGGAGGGAGGGAGGGGGGATGGGAAGGTGAACAAATTCTTGATGCTTCGCGTTTCCTCACCCGCTTATCCAGAAACAGATCGCCAGGCGACTTGCCTTGATCCGGAAGTGTAGAAGCATGCAGTGCAACGACCACTTTGGAAGTGTTTTCTCGGATGTCTCTTCGAGCCATCTTGAGTCGCTCTTGGGGCCCTCGCGGAGCCACTTGGGGCACTGTTTGTGCCCTCTTAGGGCTCTTTTGGCGAGTCTAGGGCCCTCTTGGGGCTCTTCGGGGGGGTCTGGGAAGCCTCTTGGGGCCATCTTTGCCCCCGAGGCTCAAAAAGGTAGGGGTAACGGATTCAGGCCCCACCATCGGAGGCTCAAGAATCTCGTCTTGAGGCCCTTTGGAGCCGTTATTGGAGCGCTCTTGGGCGCTTTGGGAGCCGTTTTGGAGCCTTCTTGGGCCCCTCTTGGGGTTCCCTAGGGCCATCGTGTGGCCATTTTAGGGCCTCCGAGACCCATCGGAAGGGATAAGGCGAGAAGGCAACCAAAAATGATGTTCTCTAGATTGTGGAGCCATTTTGGCCTCTTGGGGAGGTCTTGGAGAACTCGAAGGCTCGAAGGGCACTCGAAACAGTCTTGGGGCCGTCTTGAGGCGTATTCGAGGCATGTCGGAGGCTATATTGAGCCATGTTCGGCTACCTTGTGCCATCTTGGAAGCCATCTTGGGCTGTCTGAGGCCTTCTTGGAGCCATTTTGGGCCGTCTTGTGAGCTCTGACCGACCGCGCCCCTCCCCCCCCCCAGTCCAGGAGAGGGGTAGGGGGAGGGGTAAACACACCCTCCTACATAGCAAGCCATCCAGCTCACTCCCGCCCGCCGTCCCAACACATAAGTAACACCCGAACCTCAGCATGTTCAGCGCTCGTCTTTGGATGAACTGCTACTGGGAACCAAAACCGGCCCCATGTGCGCGACGCTGGGGCCCGAGCGTGGCAGGCACGTCTGGTACACCAGATGTGCTACGTGTTCCACGTGCGCCAGGTGTGCTGCATACTCCAGCCGCGCCAGGTGCGCCACGTTCGGGGCACGTGCAAAGTGTGTCAGGTGCGACTGCTCACGTGACAGCGCACATCGGGAAGCATGTCGGCCCCCACCATCCTCGTCGAAAACCAATGCCCATCATTGTGTCTGGTGGGCCTGCGCACAGCAGACCATACGCCACCACCCCCGCCGACTCTGTCAAAAACCACTTCACAGAGATTGCGGGGTGGCTGCGCATGATCCAGATTTATCCGCGAGGTGCATTTTTTGTATCATTTTTTGATAGAGATGGTGGCCCTGCGCACCGCAGACAATATGCTGATACCCCTGCCGTCCCTGTCAGAAAACATACAGACTGCTCGCGGGCCTCACGAACATGATGCAAGACTTTGCCCCAAGGTGTATTTTGTATTGTTTTTGACAGGGATGGTGGGGGGGGGTCGCATCGGGTTGGTTGCGCATGCTCCGAATGTGGAGGCAGAGTGCGTTTTGTATTGTCTTTTGACAAGGATGGTGGACGGGGTGAGCATGGTGTCCTCATTATTCCTGGTTGGCTGCTGGTCGCCTTGGGGAGGGGGTGTATATCAATAGGGAACAATGATGAACCCCTCGACCGAGCAGGGAAAGGAAGGATTTTGACAGAGAGAAGACAAAATTCGTCAAGTTGGACAATGAGCAGGCGGGGTGAGCAAAGAAGGTGGAGCGAGGAGAAGCGCATACATATTCCACAACATCCTCGTTGGGTTTGCAGCTTGGCCCGTGCGAAGCCAGACCTGCTTGCGGGGAGAAAAAGTAAGGGCACGAGAAAGAGAAGGAGGATAAGAAAGCAACACGCTTGGGCATGAGGCGCAAGAATTGGAGAGCCAACTTGAGGGCAAACGGCAACATGTCCTGGATTATTTGGGATCCCAACGTCTTCCTTGAAACGCTGGTTTCTGCGACACGTTGAAGCTATCAGGTTTTTTCAATGCTAGCTATCTGGCTAATTACCGATTCGAGGGAATACATGTTCGACAGGTTTGCTTGGAATGCGTATGGGTACGGTAACCGGTGAGCCATGCATGCGATTTCCCATGACGGACCACGGAGACAACATGTCTTATTTTTTGGTGCAAGAATTTGTCACCCCCGATGCGGCTGCAAAATAGTCGTAGATTGCGGCGATGTTTGAGCAAGTGTATGTATTCTATTTTGGCCCATCATCATCATCACGGAGCGATCAGCCGGCACCAACTCCGAAACTATGAGAGTTCTTCAGTCTAAGAGTAGAATGTCGTCTATGTTGAATGCCCCCCAAGGCTCCCTCCCCCACACTCCTTCGCCTTTCCTTCCGCCATGATCATCCATCATACCATCTTTGATCTCACCCTCGTCACTCCCTCCCTCTTCGCCCTCCGCTTCCCACCTGCAACGCATCTCGCCGTCGTTCTCCTGGACCCCCTCCTCATTATCCTCACGATCTCCCATCAACCCCTCTCCAACCTCCTCCCTCCATACCCCAGCCCCCACTCACCCGGCTTTGGAAAGACGGCCGTCTCCGGGTTTGCCGGTACATGGTTGAGCCGTGCGCAGCTTGTCGCCCGTTTCCTGTAGGGGGGCGAGGGGAGAGGGCTTTCGAACCGCTGGCGACGGCCGAGAGGACATGGACCTCGTAACGGTCACGCCGCAGGGCTTGGCAGTAACGCCGCTAAACGGCGACCGCTCGCCCCGCCCCGCGCCGCCTGCTGCCGCCGCCGCTGTTGCTGCTCCTCATCAACTCGTTGGCGCTTACCGCGGCTGTACCTGCTCACGTGGGCAGAGCGTGGGGCTGTCCTGACCCTCCCCCTTGTCTGCTTCTTGTTGTTGGCTCGGCGCTGGCGTCCCTCCTGATGACGTCGTGTATTGTCCCGCCCCCCCCCCCAGCTTGCTCTCGCGTGATCCCTCTGACCGTCTTTGTGCATCACGAGCTCTCGCTGATTTCAAGTGTGGCACAATCTTTTAAGTGTTCCGAGCAGATCTCTGAGCCTCCAGCAGTCGAGCTCATGATCCGCATCTTCCTCCTCCTCCTCCTCGTCCTCCTCCTCGTCCTCCTTCTCCTCATCCTCCCTCCTCCTCCTCCTCCTCCTCCCTCCTCCTCATCCTCCTCCTCCTCCCTCCTCCTCCTCTGGGAGCTCCGAGGTGGCGTCTCCGCGGGCCCAACTGGCCAAGCGGGGACCGTCGCGCTTGAGCGTTCCCGTGGGCCGGTGCACCTTGCTCTGGATCGTACAATTATTAAGTCGGGCCTGTCCCTCTACAGGGTATATATTCAAAAATAATCCAAAAATAGTATGGGGACGATTTGTTTCACAATTTGTTCACCATTTTGGAGTATGTTTCCTGCTTTTACTTTTCGTGCAAAATCTGCCTGTAGGGGGACACGCCCGACCTAATCGTACAGTCGGGCAGATGCATGGGAAAGGATTGCGCCCGCTTCCCTGATTTCTGGACCCTCCGCCCCGTACATCCATAGAACGACCTCCTTTTCCTCCTCCCCCTCCTCCTCTTCCTTCTCCTCCTCCTCCCTCGTCCTCCTCGTCCTCCTCCTCCTCCTCCTCCTCCTCCTCCTCCTCCTCCTCCTCCTCCTCCTCCTCCTCCCTCGTCCTCCTCCTCCTCCTCATCCTCCCTCGTCCTCCTCCTCATCCTCATCCTCATCCTCCTCCTCCTCCTCCTCCTCCTCCTCCTCCTCCTCCTCCTCCTCCTCCTGTTCCTCTCCTCGTCCTCCGCATCCCTCCTCCTCCTCCTCCTCTCCTCCTCCTCCTCCTCCTCCTCCTCATCATCATCATCATCATCATCCATCATCATCACATCATCATCATCATCATCTCATCATCACTCATCATCATCATCATCATCATCATCATCAGCATCATCATCATCATCATCATCATCATCATCATCATCATCATCATCATCATCATCATCATCATCATCATCATCATCATCATCATCATCCCCAGCACCGCGCTGTACGGTCGGAACGAGGTATCAGATCGAGATCGTTTCGGGGAGGGCACCCTAATGTTCTTCGGGAAGGGTACCGTCGGATGTTCTGTCTGTTTTGGCCGACCGAGTGCCTCGTGCTCTTGAAGGATGTTCTTCCGGCCTGGGTCCGACTGCAAGCCTCTCTCCACGAGGGGGGGGAGCCGAGGCGCGCTCGAGCCCGTGCCTGGCGGAACGCGGATTTGGAGGAGGATCCGCCAGGCAGCGGCTACTCGGTGGAGGACGAGGTCGCTGCTGAGTGGGCCCCCTCCCATGTGGACCCCGAGTCGCCAGAACTGGCGGAGCACGAGCGCCTTCGTTCTCTGGGCAGTGCCGCTGCCGATGCCGCAGCGGGCGCGGATGCCGACTGGGCTTGGGCCGTCGGCGCTCCCCTTCCGCGTGATCGGTGCGGCCCAGTGGCGGGCGGGCCCGGAAGGGGCTTACAAGGGATATCCATGGTAAGCATGGTGTATCCGTCCGTAGGGATACACGTGCTACCCGATCCCACCGATCTGTAGGGATACGCGAGTCCCTTCCGGGCCCTCCCTGAGCGCAGGGTATCCGTGGTCAGCAGCTACATCGGACGGTCAAGTCCATATGAGCCCTTACCGGGGGTTCGGCGGCGCGGTCGGCGGGCCTTTGCAGATGCCGCCACGGCAAGTCCCAGCAACCCAAGGAGCCCGGGGTCGAAGCTCAAAGGGCCCGACTCTGCTCCCGAGCAGAGGGAGCGCAACGCTCCAGTGCCCGCACCTCTTCGCCACGTGGCGCTCGTTGGCGCTGTTCGCTCTGTGGGCTTTGCTCTCTTGGAGGAGGAGGAGGAGGAGGAGGAGGAGGAGGAGGAGGAGGAGGAGGAGAGAGGAGGAGGAGGAGGGAGGAGGGAAGGCGAAGGAGGAGGAGAGAGGAGAGGGAGGAGGAGGAGGGGAGGAGGCGAGGAGGAGGAGGGTACCCGAACGATCCTCCTGCTCCTCCTCCTCCTCCTCCTCCTCCTCCTCCTCTTCCTCCTCCTCCTCCTCCCCCTCCTCCTCCTCCTACCTCTTCCTCTTCCTCCGCCCCTCCTCCTCCTCCTCCCTCCTCCTCCTACTCCTCCTCCTCCTCCTCCTCCTTCCTCCTCCTCCTCCTCCTCCCTCCTCCCCTCCTCTCGCCTCCTCCTCCTCGCCCTCTTCTCCTCCTCCTTCACCTCCTCCTCCTCCTCTCCTCCTCCTCCTCCTCCTCCTCCTCCTCTTCCTCCTCATCCTCCTCCTCCACCTCGAGGAGTTGTGGGATGAGGCCGCGCGGCCGTCCTGCTGGTGCCGGCGGCGCGCGCCGATGGAGAGGCGAGGCTCGGGCGTTGCTAGAAGTACCCCTGGCCCAAGGTACCCCAAGGATTCTCGGGGCGGCCCAGACGGCCTCCCGGGCACCCCTTCAGCCTTTCGCCTGCCCAGGCCCAAAGCGGCCTCCCCTCGGTTTTGGAAGGGTTTTTTCTTCGCCTTTAGGGCCCCGACAATACAATACAATACACGAGGCCCAGAGGGCCCCAGGGGCTCCAGAGTGGAGCGAGAAGCTGGGGGCACCTTGGGCCAGGGGCACTTCCAGCAACACCCGATCGGCGCTCTCGCGGCGCGTGCGGCCGAGCGGCCCGGGCCGCCAGGGCGAGCAGTTGGGGGTTGTGGTCCTCCTCCCTCCGTCTGGACCTCCTCGCATCGTGAAAACAGTTCGAGACGGGGGGCGTTTCGCTGCCTTCGGACTCCCGCGGCCCCTCCCGGGCCTTGGGTCCGTCAAAAAGCGACTCGGGATGAGCGATCGGTCCCGTGAAGGGGTCCAGAACTCTGGGGGTCGACGCGGTGAGTAATTAGTGGCTGCTTCCCTTTTCCCTTCAAAGAACAATTACGCTACCGAGGAACCCCACATACTTAGATTATGGGTGGGGTGATGCCCTGCGCCATGGCCCGCATAAACGCCCCGCTCGGGGACCATTCCCTGCGCACCCCCGGTGGTGTCGAGAATATGCCGTGCCTGCCTCGCCCTGCGCCATGGCCCGCATAGACGCCGCGCTCGGAGACCACCCCCTGCGCACCCCCTACGGGGTGAGGAAAGTGCCACACCTGCCACGCCCTGCGCCATGGCCCGCATAGACGCCGCGCTCGGAACCACCCCCAGCGCACCCCCCTACGAGGTCGAGAAAGTGCCACACCTGCCACGCCCTGCGCCATGGCCCGCATAGACGCCGCGCTCGGAGACCACCCCCTGCGCACCCCCTACGGGGTGAGGAAAGTGCCACACCTGCCACGCCCTGCGCCATGGCCCGCATAGACGCCGCGCTCGGAGACCACCCCCGGCGCACCCCCTGCGAGGTCGAGAAAGTGCCACACCTACGCCATGTGCGGGGTGAGGAAAGTGCCACACCTGCCACGCCCTGCGCCATGGCCCGCATAGACGCCGCGCTCGGAGACCACCCCCTGCGCACCCCCTACGCGAGAAAGTGCCACACTTGCCACGCCCTGCGCCATGGCCCGCATAGACGCCGCGCTCGGAGACCACCCCCTGCACACCCCCTACGAGGTCGAGAAAGTGCCACACCTGCCACGCCCTGCGCCATGGCCCGCATAGACGCCGCGCTCGGAGACCACCCCCTGCGAACCCCCCTACGGGGTCGAGAAAGTGCCACACCTGCCACGCCCTGCGCCATGGCCCGCATAGACGCCGCGCTCGGAGACCACCCCCTGCGCACCCCTACGGGGTGAGGAAAGCGCCACACCTGCCACGCCCTGCGCCATGGCCCGCATAGACGCCGCGCTCGGAGACCACCCCCTGCGCACCCCCTACGAGGTCGAGAAAGTGCACACCTGCCACGCCCTGCGCCATGGCCCGCATAGACGCCGCGCTCGGAGACCACCCCCTGCGCACCCCCTACGAGGTCGAGAAAGTGCCACACCTGCCACGCCCTGCGCCATGGCCCGCATAGACGCCGCGCTCGGAGACCACCCCCTGCGCACCCCCTACGGGGTGAGAAAAGTGCCACAAGAGGGAAGAGGGGAAGAGGGAGGTGAGTGAGTGAGTGAGCGTCGCGGGTGGGACGCGGCAGGGAAGAAAACCAGAACCCCACGAAACATGTGGGGAAGAAAACCAGAAGGAGGTGGGAGACGCGGGTGCGGCGCGGGTTAGAAGAAAACAAAAACCTCACTAAGCATGTGGGGAAAAACAATGTGTTATAAAAAAGACCTTTGGCGCTCCGCGCGGATTTCTTGGATCCGCGCTGGGGCCCCCCGGCGGCTCCTCTGGCGCTGCCTCTGGCGCGCTCCGCGCGCTTGGGAGGGGAGTCTAGCACGGATCCAAGAAATCCACGCGGACCGTCGAGAGTTTATGCTTATGTGTTTTTCCTTCCTCTATCCCTCCTCCAGACCTCCTCGCTTGTGGGAGTGGTGGGGGATTGCGCCACCTTGAGCGGTCCTGAAACCCAAACTTGGCCGAGCGCTGCTGCGTCTTCGGCCCCTGGGGCCGCGATATGCTGGGCGGTCGCTCCCTGCGCGATCCCACCGCCACGCCTACTGGTATCGGTTCTGCATGCGCGGTTGTCACCACCGCGTTCGTACGGCCACTGCTGATGACTGGCACCGGCCACCTGGCAGGAATCTCACCAGGCAGAAGTTTTCGCATCCTCCTCTTCCCGCAGCGCTCGCGAGTGAATAGAGACCCCCCCTTCCCCCACG